CCTGAGTCCAGTGATCTCTGAGTCAGAAGTCTCCAGGGAGATTTTCTGTTTCTGGAGAATTGGGGCAGGGGGGAATTGATGGGGTCCAGGAGCTCAATGAAAATTAAGCTGAAAGTATGGATTGATAAAAACAGGCCTAGCACTTGACTGATCACCACTTCTGGGTGGTGGGTCCCAGGCAGGTGCAAGGCAGAGCCCTCACAGGACAGGCAGACACCAGGACTGATCCTGAGATGACCCGAGGGCCCTGCCTGTTGTGATACTTGACAGAGCTAATAAATACAAACCAAAAGCATAAGCAAGTTGTTACCAAGCAGATGTCAACAAACTCCTCAGAATCAGTTCCTCTCTGGACTCAGACTCACCTGGGGGAAAGGATCCTTGCTCAGCCAACTTTAAAGTCCAAGAGGACTTGGGGGTCGTTCCTTGTCCCTCCCACTCAGCCCTATGGATCTCAAACATAACCGTTGCCAGTGTGTGCCTAACTGGTGGGTACTCATTAATCAAACTCAGCACATAATATAAAAAGTCTCGTAATAACATCTAAACTATCTCATCATTAAAAGCAGAAGGAAAGGCTGTGGCATGGTCCCCTAGGGTTGAACGGGATCCTGCGTGGGTGGAGAGACCTGGTAGCAGCCTCTGACCTGCCAAGCCCCTCCACTTGTCAGCCGGGATGCCTCAGATCTTCAGGTCCATTTGCAGAAAATGCTTTGCGTTTTACAAGCTCACCAATGCAGCACTGAGTCCTGTTCTCCCCAGAGGGGCCAGGTGGCTGAGACACCTGTTCATGCCTGCAGCCTGCCAGGCTTGCGCCCCCCCCCCCACCGCTCAGACAGCTGGGGGCCAGAGGAGAGGGCTCTCTCAGGTGCAGAATTCCTCCACTCTCGAAGTGCTTTCCACAGAGGGATAGTATTTTCCTGTTAGGCGTCTTCCCACCCCACTCACTCCACCTAAGAAATCTACCTACCGCTGGGCTACATCCCCACGCACCTAAGAAATCTAAGCACTCATAACTTCTGTCCTTCAGGGGTATTGTTAGCTTAATTGAGAATGTAAATCAAAAGCCTGTTTTTCAAGTTTTCAATTGCTTTGACGTTCCATTTTAAACTAGGATTTCCCTGTCTTTATTCCCCAAAGACTTAGAGATGCCCAATGCAATCAAGGGCCCCCTTCAAGGTACTCCTATGACCCTAAGTTTACTTGTCACTTTTGATTCCTCCGCCCATTTGCATATGAAATACACATTTACATGTTATATTAATAATCCAATTCCTCTCAAAATTTCTCCCTCAAGCAATCATTGATTATTGTAAACACATTGTATCACTACATTGTATACAACCATGTCTGCATAATACAATTATGCAGTGTCAATTTATGTGGCAGAACTATGTGTTTCTCCATCTAGAACTCATATATTTTAGCACGTATTGAAATCGGTGCTGATTAAATGTCTATCAAGTTAACTGTCTCTTTAACTAGTAAATATATATACTTAAGTATCCCAGTGGAGCTGAGAACAAAGACAGATACCCTCTTGTTGCATGATAGAGTTTTCCAGAACACCTCTCGCCTCTCTCTCTCTTCTCTCTCTCTCCCTCTCTCTCTCTCTCTCTCACCTCTCTCTCTCTCTCTCTCTCTCTCTCTCTCTCTCTCTCACACACACACACACACACACACACACACACACACACACATACACACACACACACACACACACATCTACCTATACATCCCAGAAAGGGAACCCAGGACAGAACAAAGTCCAACTAATGTGAATTTTTCCTGGAGTTACTAACAGAAATACTGATGAGGGGTTACTTAGAGGAACAAGGATGATTCAAAAAATGAAAGAAAGAAAGGAAAGAAGGAAGGAACCAAAGAAACAAAAAAGGAAGGAAGGAAGGGGAAGAGAAAAGAGAAGAAAAGAAAAAAGAAGAGAGAAAAGAGGAGCTGTCTCACTGAGAAGTCCACCCTCTATGGTGATGGCCAAGGAAGCCTGGAACCATGGATGTCTGTGCAAAGGTTGCAGGAAACTCCCTCTCTCTGCAGCTAAGCTGCTAATTGGCTTCTCCCAGCAGTTCACTCCTTTGAAATCTTCCAGGAATGAAACTTCCCAGATGTGTGACTTTGTTTACCTCTGAGCTCAGGACCACCCCTGCCCCTGATGCTGAGGGGAATGTTTAAAGGCAGAGGAAATGGCTATACAAAGCATTAACATCATAAAATAAAGATTGCAGAAGAGTTAACAAGCTGGGTTTTTTTTTACCAGTTATCACTGGAAACAACCTTTAATGAATTCATTTTTTAGCAAGAAAATTCAAAGTCTGCTACCTTAGAATACAAAAAGGACTCCATGCAGATGAAGGTAGCCACTTAAGATGCTTATTATACATCTTTTTCTTTTGACAATTATTCTAAAAATGACTGTTAAAAAGAATCAACATTACTGGGTAACACGTTTTCAATAAACAAACAAACAAACAAATCCTTATATTTTCACCACCAGCACTGCAGAGCACAACCCTATAGCTGTGTTATTTGTTGTACACTGCCATTATGATCCATACAGAAACTAAAAAGAATTTGAGATTGTTACCAGGAGTGATATAACAGAGGCTTTTACTGTATCAGACCATGATTTTCATATAAATATTCATTCTATGTTTGTTGAGTAAGGAAGGGTGCGAGGGAAGACATACCTCTAGAGATAGTGATGATGTTTGTAAATTAAGATTGTTCCCATTTAGAACAAGTAAATTCAGTAGTCTAAGTAGTATACTTACTTGTCTTTGAATAATTTATCCACTTCAAATTAAATTTAGAAATTATATTAGATCATGAAATGAAAGACTAAAAGGAAGATAGAAAGCTACAACAAAATGGCTGAGAGAGAGGACAATTGCACCCTGATGTGTTCTAGTTCCCCACTGAATCCTGGGGGTAGAAAGGCCAAATGCAAGGTGTGAGATTTGCATCCAGAGAGGCAAAAGCTTTTGACTTGATTTCCATAAAGCCTGTGAAAAACAAGCTCCTTTCTGTATGTGCTAAACACATCTCTGTTGCATCAAGCAGTTTCCATTTACTGTGTCCATAAACAGAGTCAGTGCTAAGAGCTAACACTACCGAGCACCTCAGGGCTGTGAAATGAACAGCAAATACATCTGCCTCCAGACACCAGAGAGAGACTCTGCATGTCCCAGGCATGCCAAATACTATTTTGTCTCTGACTCCAAGACAGTTTTAAATACAAAGTAAATTTGAGATTCCACACAGGTACGCATTTACTGCTAGAAAATATCTAGTTCAGGATATGAACCAAAGTCCTCTTTGCTCTACGTTCATCAGCTTTACACAGTCTACTCTAAACACTGTACAAACCAAGACAAGACCGAGAATAATTAATGCCTTCCTCAGATGGGTGATTTCTCTACACCCCCTGAAGACATTTATTTACTGCATTTATGTGATATTCCCACAGTCTCATTTCTGTGCAGGGACTGTGGCCCTGAAGTTGTTCTGAGTGAAGAGCAATTCCACTTCTGACGGAAGGCACACACACACACACACACACACACACACACACACACACACACACACACAAGACAGACAGAGCCAGAGAGACAGAGATAGGGAGACAGAGCCAGAGCCAGAGAGACAGAGACAAAGAGAGGGGGGAGAGAGACAGAGACAGAGAGACAGAGATAGAGAGACAGAGACAAAGAGAGGGGGGAGAGAAAGAGAGAGAGAGGAGTCCAGAGATTAGACCTATAAAATGCAGGGTCAAAACCTTATATACATACTAATAAATTATAATACTGTTAGGAACTAACCTTCTCATAGACTATTGAGTTAAGCCCCATATATTTCACTTTGGAAACATGGTAATGCAGTGCTGACTTTCCCTGGTTCTGCCTGTTACAGACTGGTTGCCTCATATGTCCTAAAGGATTATCATTACAAAAGAGTATATAACGTGGGCTAAAATTCATTACCTGCATTTCCATAACTTCAGTTTCCCAAGCTTAAGTACAACTTAGAGAAATAAGCAATTTCAGAATGTGGATTCATGATAGTCCCAAATTGAAACTACTACAATTCTTTAATTTCTTTGACATTTACTGTCTTTCTGAGTAAGGTCTCTCTCTCTCCTCTCTCTCTCTCTCTCTCTCTCTCTCTCTCTCTCTCTCTCTCTCTTGCATTTGCATATATAAATATATATCACAAAGTGGATATTTAAAAAATAAAACATAAAGCATAAACAATAACAAACATAGGATTTTTTTGTATAAGATACAAAAATGTATTTGCATATAGTACATACAAATTATAAATTATATGATATATAAATGTGCTTTACATAAATGACAAATAATAAATTATATATCACATTAATTTATACTTCACATATATAGAGCATATAATAAAAAATATTTTATATAAGAGAAAAAAAGAAAAGAATACCAAGGATGTATATACAAATATTGGCATTTTTAGTAATGAATGACTTTAGGGTGCTATGAACAAAATATCCACTGCCAGAGAATACACATTTAGCTATAGTCTATGGTGGAATTAGTTATAGTAAAAATAGTACAGAGTTTCAAATGTAACATCATGCATCTGTCATTTGTCATCTAAGCTATTATGTAGCTCTAGACATACAGACTACTCTACCCCTCATCTAGAAGAATTCACACCATGTGAGAAGCAGATGGATCTGGGGACAAGATTTCAGCTTTGATCAACTGATTACAACCCAGAAATTGGTCCCGAATTTATTCTCTACTAAGTGGGTTAACAGAATATAAATGATATCATATACATCAAATCACAATAAACACCACATATATATGTGATAGATACATAAATGACAGAGGGAGAGACATGACAGATAGATCATAGAGCACATTCATACTCAATTGTGTTAGCTTACTAATTAGCCTGCTGATTGAAAAATAAATATTAATAAAATTACTTAAACATGTCTTTTTCAGATGTTCAAAGTAAAGTTACTCCATCACTGCCAGAAACTTCTTCAACAAAATCATCTGTCACAACATCAGCCATTGTGTCAGGAACAAATCTGGTTAACAAAACAACAGCCGGAACACCTCCTAAAGGTAGGACTTTCCTATGAAAATGTAGTTTCCCTCTTAAAAACGAAATTAGTAGATCCCATGCAATGTACTACATGGAAATAATTGCTAAAAAACTAAGGAATGCTTCACTATGTATAAATTCCCTATAATTTGGAGGCCTTTGCTGAGCTTCCTTAACGAAATTTCTTTAGATCACTTCTTGTTTGGGGAAGGTTCTATTGTGACTGTTACATAAACAAAGTTTATTTTTAGAGAAGAAAACAATTAACATACCTAAGTCATAAAAATATGTTTGTAAATATCTCAGTTTTCCACTCACATAGCACAGCCAACAATTGGAAGCTGTACAAACTGACAGATTTTGTTGGTCATATGTGCTAATAATAGATTTAGTTTGAAGATTTTTTAACAGTTTTATCACATTTTTTACTGGATGGAGCAACAACTTTGCCAAGAATTTTGGCTAAGTATTAAAAGAGAGTATTTAGCTGTCTTAGTTAAGGTTTCTATTGCTGTGAAGAGACACAGCAACTCTTATAAAGGAAAACATTTAATTGAGACTGACTTACAGTTCAGAGGTTTAGTCCATTATCATCATGGCGAGAAGTATGGCAGCATGCAGGCAGACATGGTGCTGGAGAAGGAGCTGAGAGTTTTACATCTTGATCCACAGGCAGCAGGAAGAGACTGAATCACACTGGGTATAGTTTAAGAAAAGAATATATGAGACTTTAAAGCCCACCATCACTTTGCCATATTTCTTCCAACAAGGCCACACCTCCTAAAAATGCCACCCTCTATAGACCAAATATTCAAACACAAGAGTCCATGGGAGCCATACCTATTCAAACCACCATACAAACCATCTTTAAAGATTTGAAATGTTCCTAGGACTGGTGGCACTTGCCTTTAATCCTGTCACTTGGGAGGCAGAGGCAGGGAGATCCCTATGGGTTTGAGGCCAATCTATTCTGCATATTAAATTCCAGGACAGCCAGGTGTATACAGAGAGACCCTGTCTCAAAAAGAAATGAAAACAGGGCTGCGGAGGAGGCAGGGGTGAGAAAAGCCATTATAGTCACTCAATTAAAAACTAAAAGATTTTCAAGCCAATGGTTGCTGCATTGTTTATCTTGTAACAGAAAAAATTAACAAATAAGGTTATCTCATTAAGGCTCAGTATTCAAAAGAAGAAAAAATAAACTTGCTAGTTAATTGCCAGAAAACTGAATATTTGAAATGAATGGATGGCTGAAATCCTACCACTGTATTTCTCAGCTCTGTATACCTTCCTTAATTTTTACTCTAAGCTCAGGCTTGCACACATATTACATCAACAACATGGACTTCAATATCATGGTAACTTAACAGACAAAGGATATCATGAGCCAAATCTACTTCTACCATGTTTGATTTTACAATGAAAAGAAAGCAGTCCTTAAAAACTCCTTGACCAAATCAGGAGAAAGCATACACAACAGGGGCAACATGGGGGATTTTAGTCCCAGTATACTGGAGAATCTTATTTCTACCAAAGAGAAGCTCCAAACAAAGCAATTGTCTCATCTCTGTTCTCCCAGGTTTCCAATAGGATTTTTACAAAGTTTGGCCGTCTGTTCTCTTCTCTAAGCTTCAACTGACTTTCAAATTATGGATTTGGCTCTAAGTTGGCAAGAGCATATTATGTTTGTAATCAGTGATATTTATACAAGAGGCAAGACAGAGAATGTGGGTGTTGATGTTAGATCCAGACCCTATAAGATTCAATGCTAACAAATACTAGCCTAGTAATAACAGAAACCCTGAAACAATGTTTCGTTACATGAAACATAGAATCAGAGTTTCAATAAAAGAATTTCGGCAGATTTTAATTTGTGAAACAAAAATGCACCACTTTATTTTGCTGAGTTAGGAAGTTATTTCAAACCTGTTTATATTTAAGCAGAGAAAGATGACATTTTATGTTGTTTTGTGTGGTTTTTTGTTTGTTTGTTTGTTTGTTTGTTTGTTTGCAATGGGTATGTCGGGTATGTCCTGTAGTTGGGCAGGAAACAAGGGTGCGTCACGCTTAAACTTGACATAGTACACACAAATGTACACATATATTTCTTCAAACTTCTTTTCATATATATTGCTGATAATTTGTGTTAGCCACATAATAAATATTACACCCTGGTGTGTGTTCTCAAAATGTCTCCTTGTGAATTTAAATTACTTACTTTTAAATGTAAAATGGTAATAAATCATATAACTTTTGCCTCTTACTAATTTGTATTACAAAACTATTCAAATGTAATGTAAAGCAAGGGATGTTTTAATTATTCTTCCTATATCCACCTCCCTAAAACAGTTTTTCCAGAGTTTATCACATTTTTCAACTTTCCTCATTCATGTCCTTAATTTCTTCTTACTCCATTTATGTGATATTTAAAGTATTGTGGAAACCACACTAAAAGTATGTCTCAAATTTTGAGACAGTTTATTGCAAAGCTACAATGCCATTATCAAACCTACTCTCCAAATCGTTATGATTTTAGAATCACTTAGTATCAATTGGGAGTACTTTTTTATTTTTATCATTTTTTATTTTAATTTTAAATAGCTTGTTTTACACATCAATCCCAGTTCCCTCTCCCTGCCCTCCTCCCGCACTCCCCTCCCTTCCCAGCCTCCTACCCTATTGCCAATTCCTTCCACATAGGGAATATCTAGAGTCTGTCATTTCACTCCGGGTAGGGTCCAGGCACCCCCCTAAGAGTCCAGGCTGAGAGAGCATCCTTCTTTGTGCTATGGGCACACAATGACTGTTTGTATTCCAGGGATAGACACTGATCCACTGCTCAAGGCCTCATAGGTTGTCCAGGCCTTCTCACTGACACTCACATTTGGGGGGGTCCAGATCAGTCCCATGTTAGCCTCCCCGCTGTCGGTCTGGGGTCCAAGAGCTCTCCCCTGTTCAGATCAGCTGTCTCTGCTGGTTTTGTTATAATCTAGTAGCCATGAATACAGCAGTGAAACAAGGATGGGGTGGGGTGGGGTAAATTCATTCTGGGGCTGCTAATGAGACAAAGCAACAATGTCTGCTACAGAGGCTATACAGTGGGAAAGGTGGCTCACCCGCTCTGGAGTAACAGTCTGGTGTGGAGGAAGCAGAGCTGAGGAAGTGACCAGGAGAAGAGTGGGCTGAGGTGCTAACCCATGGAGGAAGAGCACTAGAGAAGGAAGACATGAACGCTTTGGCCTAGTCTGTCTAATACCATTCTCTTTGAAGGGGAGTTAGAGTGTGTGCCTTGACTAAGCTCATCCTCCTTAGGGCGATGATTACACACAGTAATGAACAGGGGTGGGGAGAATCTGCCTTAATTCTTAATATTCTAATTAGTGGGTCAGGCATGTGAACAGCTTATACATCAGGTATGTTTAAATGCTGACAGCGCCCCCCCAAAAAACAGCCATGACATAGACCAAAATATTTCACACACACACACCGAGAGAGAGAGTCCTCATTCTTCCTTTCTTAAATCCAACACAGTGCTCCCTCCCACAGTAAAGGCTCCCATGTAGGAAATGAATACATAAAACTGCAAAGAATATATTTTTAAAATCTAACCTCATAAACTTCCTTTATGATTAGGTGGAACTACAATAGGATTGTGTGCCTCACCTTTCTTTTCTCTGTTATCTTCTTATCTATAAGTTTTAGTTGAAAATGAACACTCTGTGGAAAATGTTGTAAATGTGTGCAGTATCCTCTTATGTTTATGTAAAGTTCAGTCTGTTTCTCTGAACAATTATCCGAAACTGTTGAATTGTTTATGAACTTTAAATTAACACAAATCACTGTTGCCATAAGTTACCAGTACTTCCTCATAATAATGGTGTACATTTTTTTCTTCAGAATTTTAATATATTCAACACATATAGAGAAATTCACCATACCATATGTAGAGCTCTACACACATATGAAAGTGATTACTGATAAATTAGTAACACTCCAAAAGTGTCACTGTTCTCACCACAAGCACATTTGTACACACACGTACACACACTCACACATACACACAGATGCCCTGTGAGGTATTAGACTTGTTTGAATAGAGCTTCCTCCAAGACTTTGTGGGCAATACCCAACTTTCGGCAAATTTTTGCTCTAAGTAATTTCAAGAATAATTTCTGGCATTAATACATATTCTAAATAGAGAGCTACAAGGGCATGAAGATCAGAAAGGGACAGTGCTGTGTCTTATGCAGTCGACACAGCTCATGTTTTTGAAAGTTACTCTTCAGTAACATTTGCTTCTTCTCAATATCCTTTCCAAAGCTTTTTAGTATTCAGGAACAAGCCCCACGTTTATTTGGAATTGCATTACAATCTTGCTTTGTATTAGTTCGAGATAGAACTATTTGGGTCTCTGAAGTTTACATAGCAGGAACTCAAAGACCATCTAATGAATGAGCAGAGTAATTTCAGAAGTTTTCAAGTTTCTCAATGTCTGTTTTCAACAAAGTATTTGTTACCATGAATGACTAAGCTGAGGAAATTAAATATAATTCTGATATAAAAGTTATACTTCATGATTCGATTTGACTGAATCTTTATCCACCACAGGAACAATAAAATGATTTTTAAATCACTAAAATTTAGTTTGTAATACTTTTTTGCATGTTTAATGATATCCAGTTAATAATCTGCAATAAAAGCATGTTGTTTGGATCACTCATACTAAGTGTGTGTGTGTGTTTAAATCAGTAATTCAATAATTCAATATTTGCATTCCTGTTTAGCTAGAAGGAGTTGGAAAACAGTAAAACAAAGGGGTTAATAAGTACATCTGTAGATTGATTGCAGATCATTTCTAAACTTGACTTTTCATTCCTTGGCAGATGAGATGAGTTGTTAGTTTAATAATATCATCTATCTTATCAAACTAGGAACAACTGATGGTGAATTACCCAAATCTCCTTTGACGCAAACACTTACTTCACTGACCACAGTAAAACGTGAAGGTGAGTATTGATTCGTTTTGTTTTTGTTAAGTGTGTGTGTGTGTGTGTGTGTGTGTGTGTGTGTGTGTGTGTGTAATTTTCTATAGGTAGCATGATGTTTAGGTCTTCATTTTCCAAAGTTGATGGCTTTGATCTGCTTAGGTTTAATGCCTATTGTTTCCCTTTGATAGAACTGCGAGAAGCAACATCATTACTTTCTTCCTAACTACAAGAAAAACTTGTCAGGATCTCACCATTTAGTGTGATATTAAACTCCTACAACTAGTTTTTAAAGTTGCTTTTATCATGCATGAATTTTAAGTTTTCAAAAATGCTTTTTCTCAATATATGGAGGTTTGTTGTGTTATCATTCTTATTTTATAAGCATGGCATACAACTTTGATTATTGTATGTTGAACTTACCTTGCTCACTTAGCAAAAATTCCCCTTGGTCATGCTTTGGGATACTTTCCATATGAGGCCATTCTCTTTTATACTATTTTGCTGAAAATTTTCATAAGAGATGTAAACTTGCAGTTTTCCTGAAACGTTTGTCTTTTTTAATATCACATAATATTGGCCTCATTAGATTGAGTTGGGATGTATTCCCTTCTCTGCAATTTTTTGAAAGATTTTGTGATTTCTTCATATTACAAAGGCAAGTTACTATCTTAGGAAACTCAACATTACATTAGGCTACTCTTGTCTATCTTCTTTTTCATCAGAAGATAATATTCTACTTAAAACTTATGAAGAACCCCAATGTCAACAATTCAGACAACTAGGGGTTGCGTCACTAAATGTAAAACAGGGTGAGGAGTGGGAGAAGGTGGGCTGAAGTACATTGTTTGAGACTTCTGTCCAACAGGGAAATAAGAAAAATATAGAAGAGATAGAAGGCCTAATAATATCTTATGCCCAAAATCATTATGGAAAAAACTATAGGGAAAGAAAAATCAAAAATCAACATCATTCTAAGGAAGAACAGGGACTTTACTGCTTATTTTTATATTTCTTTATTGTATTTTATGTGTATGAGTATTTTGACTGCCTATATGTCTGCATAATTTATTTAAATTTGCATATTTGTCTGTGTACTGTATATGTGCATATATGTCTGTGTACTCTGAGTTATGTGCCAGGTGCCACAGAGCCCAGAAGACAGTGACTGATGCCAGACCAGGAGTTCTGAATGGTTGTAAGCTACACTGGGTGCTGGGAATTGATCCTGGCTCCTAAGTAAAAGCAACTAGTGCTTAACCACTGAGAAACCTCTCCAGTCTGGCAGAAGGATTTTTTTTCCTCAATATATATTTTATTTAAATTAGAAACATGAATGCTTCACATGTCAATCCCAGCTCCCTCTCCCAACCCTCCTCCCTTGTCCCTCCACCAGTCCCCCCAGCCCCCCACCCAATCCCCACATCAATCCCCAGGGAGGGTGAGGCCCTCCTTGGGGGGGAGGTCTCCAAAGTCTGTCATTTCATCCAGGGCAGGATCTAGGCCCTTCCCCATGTGTCCAGGCTGAGAGAGCATCCCTCTATTTGGATTGGGCTCCCAAAGATCATTCATACACCATGGTAAACACTAATCTACTACCCAAGGCCCCAGTGATTCCTGCGCCCTCCTCACTGAGACTACATTCATGGAGTCTGGATCAGTCCCCTGTTGGCCTCTCAGCCATCAGTCTGGGATTCAAGAGCTCCCCCTTATCCGGTCAACTGTCTTTGTGGGTTTCACCAGCATGGTCTGGACCCCTTTGCTCATCACTCTTCCATCTCTCACTAGGTTCCAGGAGTTCAGTTCAGTGTTTAGCTGTGGGTATCTGGCTCTACTTCTATCAGTCACTGGATGAAGGTTCTAGGATGGCATATAGGGTAGTCATCAGCCCTATCATCAAGGAGGGGCTACTAATGTAGTCTCTCTTCTATTGCTTAGTTTGCCAGTTGGTGTTATCCTTGTAGATCTCTGGAGATCTCATGAGTTTCAGCTCTCTCCTCAAGCCTATAATAACTCCATCTATTATGGTATCTCTCATCCTGCTCTCCTCTATTCTTACCTCAACTCAACCTTCCCATTCCCCCATGCCTTCTTCTCCCCTCCTCTTATCCTCCTCTCTTTTCCCTGGTTCCCTCTCCCCTCCCCCCATGTTCCCAATCTGCTCAGGAGATCTTGCCTCATTCCACTTCTCTGGGGCATCATGCATCTCTCTTGGGTACCTCCCTGTTTCCCAGACTCACTGGCACTGGGATTGAAGGCTGACACTCCCCTGATTCATATCTAAAATCCATATATGAGTGACTACATACCATGTTTGTCCTTTTGTGTCTGTTTTACCTCATTCAGGATGGTTTCCTCTAGTGGCTTCCATTGCCTGCAAATTTCAAGATTCCATTGGTTTTTTTCCACTGAGTAGTACTCCATTGTGTAAATGTACCACATTTTCTCTATCCATTCTTTAGTTGTGGGACATCTAGGTTGCTTCCAGGATCTAGCTATTACATATAATGCTGCAATGAACATAGTGGAACAGACATCCTTGTTGTGTGAATGGGCATCTTTTGGGTATATGCCTGAGAGTGGAATTGCTGGGTCTTGTGGTAGACTGATTCCCATTTTCCTGAGGAATCTCCATACTGGTTCAGGAGGAATTCTTTTAAATTCAGAATTGTGAATTCCTTTGATGGTAATAAACTACCTCAACTTTGATTTCTGGAATTTTTTATTATACACAGGGCCTTATCAAATGGAGCTCAAATGGCCTAGACTAAAATACTCCCCATTGGCTGCTATTCTCTTCTCTTCAGTACACCCCTTATCCTGTGCCTTGAGCTCTTGTTCCTAGTACTGAATACTGGAGAGGATCAAGTCTTAGTCTGCCCCATGATCCTTCACATATGTTCCTCCTTTCTTGCCCAACAATGAAATCAATTGACAAAGTCACTACTTCACTATTTCTTTCCATCCCAAAGAGAGAGGTCAAAAGAATCTTCAATAAGTGTCTGCTGCTCCAGGCTCTGCTGATGCTTAGAAATGTCTTCCTAGGACATTTAGTGTAGCCATCCAGACAAGCCACAATCTTACCATAAATTTGCTGACATTATCCCAGAAGGCACTGAGAGAATCCAGGCATTAATTAAATCTGTCTCTGACTACTATCTTGTTACAGAGACAGAATTTCTATAAAGTACTGACTTCAAATAGCCCTTGAATGTGAATTTCTATCAGCTGTTAGTTAAAAAAACATGCTATAATCCTAGGAGTTAATAAGCATCATAGCATACATTAAAATAATGGCAATGCTAACAAAGAATCTGTGAATGTCTTAAATCTATGGGGCTCTAAGTTAATCTTATCATGCAACATTTAAGGAAACAAACACTTCATGAATATGTTTTGCCAGCATTTTGTAGAGAATATTTACATGTATGTTCAACAGTGAGGGTTTCCTTCCCTTTCTATTTTATCAGAGTTTGCGGAACATAATATTACCTCTTCTTTAACAATTTGCTGAAATTTGACAGTGAATTTATCCAATTCTGGGCTTTTCTTTGTTGAGACACTATCTTACTAATGCTTCAATCTCATTGTTACATGGCTGCCTAAATTCCTTATATTTTCTTTGATTATGATTCATTGGGTCATGTTTGTCTAGGAAATTATCCATTTCATACACATTTTTTAGTTTGTTTGAGTATTTACTTTCTAAAATATATCCTAAAGGTCTTGTGAATTTCATGGATATCTGTAGGAATGTCTCCCTTTTCATCTCTAATGTAGCAATTTTAGTCTTCATTTTCTTTCTTTTGGTTAGTTCAGCTAAGCTTTTGTCAATTTCATTTGTCTTTTCAAAGAATCAACTATCTCATTAAATTTGTGTCCTGTTCTTTCCATTTCTGCTCTGTTCATTTCCCTAGATATTTCTTATTTCTTTCTATCCAATGATTTGGGACTTGGCTTCCTATTTTCCTATGACCTTTAGATATATCATTTTTATTTGTATTTTTTCTAATTTTTTAAAATGTAAGCATCTATAGTTTTCTGCTTCCCTCTTAATACTACTATTGTGTCCCATGGGCTGTGGTAAGTTGTGTTTTCATCATATTCAGTGCTAAGGACTTTAAATGCCCTTCTGGTTACCTTGTTGACTCTCCATCATTCAGTAGTATGTTTTAATCTTTACATTTCATTTTCTGCAGTTTGTCCTGATGATGATTTTCAGTTTCTGTCCACTGTGAGCAAGTAAAACACAAAACAAATTAAATCCAATTTCCTTTTATTTGTTTGTATTTGCTTTGTATTGTACAATAAGTTCTATTTTATAGAATCTCTGGAATATTCTCTTACAGAATTTCTGTTTCATAACATATTTGGGCCTCTTATCAATTTTCAGTTTATTTTTGTTTGTAGTATCATATAAAGGTCTAGTTCCATTCTTTGGTTATGACAATCTGATTTCTCAGCAACATTTATTAAAGAGATTATTCTTTCTCCCCTGTGACCTCTAGGTGTCATGCCACTGATTAGTTATGCATATTTGGCTTTATTTTCTGGCTCTCTATTTTTGCTTGTTTTGCTAGTATATATGTGATTTATACCAATACCTTGCAATTTAGATTACTGCAGCTTTACAATATGGACTAAAATCAGGAAGTATGATGATTTCAACTGTTTAGCCTTTCTCAAAATTGCTTTGCTTTATTGATCTTTTGTGATACATATTTTTGTGATATATATTTTATAATTATCTTGTTTGTTTCAATGAAGAATGTAAGTGGAATTTTGCTTCAAATCCGCATTTTGCTCTGGGTATGTTGGAGATTTTAACAATTCTTCTAAGCCATGAGTATGATATATCTGTTTATTTTTTATATTCTATTTCTACTATAGTAGTCTTATAATTCTTAATGTTCAGAACCATCATCTTCTAGATTAAATTTATTCATAAGTAGGTTTAGACCATCTTTTAAAAATAAAACTAAGCCAAATGACATTTCTCAACTGTAACATTTATTAGTATA